CCAGACGCTACAGAAACCTGCCAATCAAAGTAAAGTTTTCAAACCTCAATTCAATCAAGTGTTATGCCAAAGGACCAAAAGTTTTATTTGGGGTAACTTTCATAAAACCCCCCTCGAACTTTGGGGGCTTTTTAAACTTTATAAATCCTAGAAACCTCTTCCCCTGAACTTGTATCACTTAATTACCACGACTGACAGTGATAACTTAAAGTTGCCACGTACTTCACAGTTCACACATGAGAACTATAGTATAATATTACCCCTAGCTACTAAATATAATTTCCATATTACACTTTTTGGGTAAAGGTACGTAAAAAGTAAAAAAAATTGCTTTCTACTCTACCATTTTACATTATTTATGAGAATTTCCATCAGCTCAGGGGGTCAAATTTAATTTTGAAAGTGTAGGGCCATTTTCTATGATTTCTAAAGTTCAGGGAGGTTTTGTGAAATTTACACTATTACTTACTTCAAGAGTTTGAGATCCTTTCTCTGTGATCTTGCACCCAGCTTCAGAAAGCTTTTCCACCAAGCTTGTTAAGTGAGAGGGGATAACAGGTGACAACGAAATACATGATCTAGTTATCGCTGCCGCAACCATAAATGTACCTGCTTCGATTCTATCTGGCATAATGGTGAACTCAGCACCATGTAACTTTTTTGTACCAGTAATCACAAGTGTATTTGTACCCCCTCCCTTGATGCAAGCTCCACAAGCATTCAGAAATTGTGCAAGGTCAACCACTTCTGGCTCCTATGGATAAATTTTGGTAATGATTGTAAGGAATACTAGAATGAAGAGTAACTTATTTGAATATTTTGGCTCGTACCCAAGCTACATTTGTAAGTACAGTAACGCCTTCGGTCATAGATGCTGCCATCATTAAGGTTTCTGTTGCCCCGACGCTTGGATAATCGAGATGAAATCTACCTCCAACGAGTCCCTTGCCATTTGCAGCACGCACGTGGATTTTCTCATCACTGTAATATATGGCAATTAATCAAAGATAATTTTAATTTTAGCGTTGATTAAGCTGCAACAATGTTCATAAGTCCATACTTCATAGTCAAATCATACTTAGAAATATAAGACTATATCAACAGATAGTCCTGTTCCCTGAAAACCAATGTTTAATATACCGGCAGAAAATAATGGGTGTCAGTTGCATCAGTGGAACTTAGATATGTGATCCAAAGTACACTATGTAACGCTGGGACCAGCCAATTTACGCCCTGTCTTGGCAAATTTGCTGAGCTTTTGTTTGTATCAGACTGATACTAACCAAAACGCACTGTTAAGAACCGATACAGAAGCAGAAAATGAGATAATACATTTCAAGCTACCCAAAGAAGAAAACGAAAAAAATGGCAATACATGGGTAAAAGAAAAAAGTTCAAGATATTCTACAATCAATATATTACTACACAAGCGTACCGGTGAAAAGGTCATTTATAATCAAAATCTAATCCAGGCTTACAGAAAATAAAAAATAACGGAAAATGCAGTTATATCCAATAAATTAATGAGATATAGAACATAGCTGATATTAACGATTGACTGATAGATCCAGAGACACATCCAGGAATGAATAATTTCTACATGTAATATAATGTGCTCTGAACTAGACTAATGGCGAAACAACAGCATCAACACATCAAAGCCTTCATCCCAAATGTTTGGGGTCGGCTACATGAATCATATTCTTCCATTCTATTATATTATGAGACATCTCCTCTGTTAAGTTAGTCATAATCTTATTCTTCTTAATTGCTTCCAATCTAATTCTTTTAAGTCTACTTGTGGATCTCCTAGCTCCATTAACTATAATACTATCACTTTTTCTAACAAGTGCACTAAGGGGTCTCCGTTATACATGATCAAACCATCTTAGTCTATTCTCTCTCATTTTAACCTCAATAGGAGCAACATCTAATTTTACTACGGATGCAATCATTTCTTTTTATATTTTTCAGTGTATACCGACAAAACTATCACAACATTCTCATTTCTACTACACTATTTTTTACACATGTTTTTTAATGCCCAATACTCTGACCCATAAATATTGCTAATCTTATAATCGTCCTATAGAATTTTCCTTTTAGTTTCAGTGGTCTTCTACGATCAAATAAGACTCCTGAAACACTCATCTATTTTAACCTATGGGGAACATCATCTTCAATCTCACCATCATGCCGAAGGACTGATCCTAAATAGAAAAAATGATTACCTTTAGACATTTTCTGACCATCAGTATGTCCATCAATATATATTATAGGCTCTTTTCTTTTCCTAGTTTTACTAAAAATGTACACCATATATTATGTTATTGTTCTACTAATTTTAAAACATTTAGATTCAAGATCTTATCTCTACCTTTCTACTTTAGAAATTATACCTCTTCTAGTTTTGTCAACTAACACTATATCATCTGTAAATAACATACACTATGAGATTTTATCTTGAAAGTGTCTAATAAGTCGGTCAACAACTAATACAAAAAGATAATGACTTAAGGAAGATCCTTGGTGTAAACATATAACAATAGGAAATGGCTTAGTCTCTGCTTCATTAGTTCTTATTCTAATTGTTACTCTCTTATACATATCTTTAATCACATCAACATATATACAAGATTTTTTTTTTTTCTGAAACCCACCACATTACCTCTCTAGGCAATCTATCATAAGTTTTTTCTAGATCCACGAAAATCATATGCAGATCTTTTCTTTTCTCTCTATATCTCTCCATCAACCGGCTCAAAATATGTACAGGTACCATAGTTGACCTCCCATGTATAAAACAAAATTGATTTTTAAATACATTTCTCTTCTTTCTTAGCCTCAATTACCCTCTCCTAAAATTTCAAAGTATGAACCAAACTAATGCTCCACTCACAAATTCCCATAACAGGGTAGCCATTACAAAAAAATAGCTAAAATCCCAACTAAATTTTGCAATAAATTTCACATAACCCCCAAGAATTTGGCCTAATGATACCAAAAACTTTTAACAACGTCACATAATACCATCAAGCTTTGTCACATAACCTCTCAAATTTCTTAAGACTCCTGCCAATCTGACAAAACTTTTTTTTGGTGTTTCGTGACATTTTTAAGAGCTTTTTTGGAGTTGCCCAAAAAGGGACCAACCTTTTGGGCGGTTATGTGAAATTTACCTAAAAATTTCTAATAGCAGCGATCGCCACCTCACCTCATATCAACAACTGCACCCAACGCGGTGAGCCCTCTTACATAAAGATCCACCGGCCTCGCCCCAATCTTACACCCACCAGGCAACGCCACGTCAGCCCTCCCGAACCTC